GTTGGTGTGTCAGCTCAGGTCCTCCCTCTTTAAAGATTTCAGCAGGGATCCCGTCTGGTCCACTGGCTTTGTAATTTTTCTGTTGGCTGATGGCATTGCTGACTTCTTCCAAACTGGGCAGTGCTGCAAGCTCATCCCTGGTTTGTTGTTGTGGGATTTGTGAGAGGACCTCTTCGGCCACATTGGAGCTGCGGTTCAGGAGGCTTTGGTAGTGTTCTTTCCAACGTAGTGCAATTGAGTTTTGGTCCTTCAGGAGTTTGGATCCATCTGATGAGCGTAGAGGCTGTATGCCATGGTTTCTTGGTCCGTAGATGACCTTTGTGGCCTTGAAAAATCCCTGAGCATTATGGGTATCTGCCAGGTGTTGGATTTCTTCGGCCTTCTTTGTCCACCAGATGTTCTTGAGTTCTCTTGGACCTTTGGACCTCAGCTTTTGCACTGGCATAGATCTTTTTCTTAGCTGCACAGTTGATGTCTCTCTGCCATGCTTGGAAGGCTTTCCTTTTCTTGTCAATTAGCTGTTGGATCTCGATGTCATTTTCATCAAACCAGTCTTGATGTTTCTTGGCTTGGTATCCAATAGTTTCTTCGCAGGCTTGGATGATGGAGGTCTTCAGTTTGTTCCAATGTTCCTCAACATTTTCGGGGTGTACTGTGGGTAGATGGTCCTTGAGTGCTGTTTGGAGATGGGCTTGTCTGGAGGGCTTCTGAAGGGCTTGGGTGTTCATTTTGCGCCTTGTCTTCCTTCCTTGGAGTCTGCGCTTGGGAAGGATCTTGATAGCCATCGAGGATCGAATTAGCCTGTGGTCAGTCCAGCAGTCGTCAGCACCTGTCATGGCTCTTGTGAGGAGCACGTCACGGCGGTCTCTGGCACGTGTGATTACATAGTCTAAGAGGTGCCAATGCTTTGACCGGGGGTGCTTCCATGATGTCTTGAACTTGTTTTTCTGGCGGAAGAGCGTGTTGGTGATGACAAGGTTGTGCTCCGCACATTTGGTGAGAAGCAGGATGCCATTTGAGTTGCTGTTTCCAACCCCGTCTTTTCCTATGGTCCCTGGCCACAGGTCGAAGTCTCGGCCGACTCTTGCCGTGAAGTCCCCCAGGAGGATGATTTTGTCCTCCTTAGGTATCCCCGATAGGACGGTGTCCAGCTGACAGTAGTTTCTCCTTGATGTCTTCGTCAGCATCTAGTGTTGGTGCATAGGCACTTATGATCCTGGGAGTGCACGACTCCAGTTGTTGTGCCTACAGGTTCATTGGAACGCGCAAGCCCCCTCACCACGACAAGGTGACAGTCCATCGAGGGGGAATATACGTAGTATAAGTTGTAATGGAAAGTTTTAAAAAATGATAAGAAATATGCTTAAAGATGTTTTTAATTTTTTTATACTGTTAGATTGTATATAATATGACATACTCTTCTGTCTAAGATGTTGTAAAAAGAATGTATGCTTATACATTTTGTTTGATAAAATTATAAATAAAATTTTTAAAAGAGAGAGAGAGAAGGGCCTCTCCTGAGGATCTCGGGGCCCAGGCAGGCTTCTACAATGAAATGCAGTCAGCCAAATAGCCTGACCCTGAGCCGTATAGAGCTTTAAATGTCTTCACCAGCACTTCAAATTGCGCCCAGAAACTAGTCGAGCTGCTGCAACTGTGGGGGTGGAGGTTGTCCTCTCTATAGCCAGCCCTTTAGTAATCTGGCTGCATCTCTTTGGACCACTCTTCAAAGACAGCCTCATGTACAGCGTCTTGTCCTACCCATGCTGCTGGGTAGGACAAGACAGTAATCCAGCCTCTTAAGGAATGGGTGCAATTGGTGAACAAGTTTTAATTTGTAATGCCCTCTTGGCCACTGCATATACCTGGGCCTCCAGGACTATCCCCAAACTGCGGACCTTTTCTTCAGAGAGAGTGTAACTCCATTCAGCACAGGCTGATCCCAATTCCCTGATCTGCTTTCCAACTGACCAGGAACACCTCTGTGTTGTCTGTACTAAGCTTCAATTTGTTCATTCCCATCAAGACATTGGTTTAGGGTCAGGATAGCTCTCTTCAGTTTAGATGGGTGTCATCTGCATATAGGTGGCATCTCACTCCCAAATTCTGGATGACCACTTCCAGCAGTTTCATGTACATGTTAAAAAGCATTGGGGGCAGGGGAGGGGGCAGAACCCTGAGAAACCCCACAGGTCAATGGCCAGGAGTTTGAACAGGAGTCCCCCAGTACCACCTTCTTGGTATGGCTCTCCAGGAAGGAACAGAGCCACTGTAAATTGAAAAGAGCTGTTCTGACCAGTGCCTCCAAGTCTCATCCTAACGAGACAGCCTAGATGGATTCCATGGTCAATGGTATTGAAAACTGCAAAGAGGTCCAGGAGACCAACAGGAACACACTTCCCCTGTCCAGTTCCATACAGAGGTCATCCACCAAGAGGATCAAAGCTGTCTTTGTTCCATAGTCAGGCCTTAAACATCACCATCATTCCATCCTGCCCAGAAAACAAGGTCCAAAGTGTGCCCAGCAGCATGGGTAGGACAAGACACCAATTGGAATAGACCTATGGTTATCATGGAGGCCATGAAGTCCTGACTTACTCCTGACAGGGCACTCTCAGCCCTGTCCATATATTGAAGTCTCCCAGCACTAGTAGCCACTGAGACTCCAGTGGCAACCATAAGACCATCCTGGCTAGCTCAGGAAGGGAGACTGTTGAGCTACAGATTCCCCATTCTGTCCAGGCTACCCACCTTTAGGTATATACACTCAAATGCTGTTGCCTGTGGGATGGGGAACCTGATTGGGGATAAAATCATGATAGATCACTGCTCCTTCTCACCCACCAGGTATTAACGTCTGGTGTACAGAAAAACATGGCAAGTAGAGCTGAGAAAGATTACCCTACCCCCCCCCCCCCCCCCCCCCCCCAGTCTCATCCAGCCAGGTCTCCATGATACAGACCAGGTCAGCATGATCATCCAGAATCAAGTCCTGGGTGGCAGTTGCTTTTCCATTTACTGACCTGGCATTTTACAGCAGCATTATGCTGCCCATAATTCAAATGCCATGTTTTAAATTATGTATCCTCCTCAGAGAACTCTTTGTCAAACATAGAAACAAGAAATTTTATGTCTCATAGTTTGGCTTCAATGGGCAGAATCATGGAGTTCCATCCAGTGCATGCATGCTTGCTAAACAGACATTTTAAAACACACATAAGAATGTTTTATCAGCTCCATTACACTCAAAGGACATGTTTCTAAGAAACATGCTTAGCATCGTGCTAGAAGTATATTTGGAACTACAGCTCTTAGTGCCTGGAGAGCAAAAGGGATTGGATAAGACTTTTTAAACAAATGACGAGTTACCAATTCCCAGCTGGCATGAGTTCAGAAATGTTATTTACCAGGAAAGCAATGAGTGGATGTAACACAATACCTAAGAAAGTGGAAACAACTTCTGTTACTGTCAGCTCTGAAGGATATGGAGCATCTGCTGGATGAATATTTCTCTGAACTGCCAATAATTTTTGTCCAGTAAGTATCTTGGCATGGAGTAGTACAATGGTCAATTATTTTTAATTCCTCGGAGACCATTCAACTCAAATGCATAATAGTATTCCTCTTTGTTTCTTTCTCAGTTGCAACCTTTGTATGCTTGATCATAGAAACAGGGCTCCATAGTTAAAGCAATGTCCAGATATTCATGTAACCCTTTATTGTTTTCTGCTTTGCAGATGTTGATGAATGTGCATCTGAATCGCATCAGTGCAACCCCACCCAAATCTGTATCAACACAGAAGGAGGATATACTTGCTCTTGCACTGAAGGATACTGGCTTTTAGAAGGCCAGTGCTTAGGTATGATATTCTGTAGGGTGAAATAAATGTATTGTCTTTGAATTTTAATGATTTTTTTTACATAATGGGTTGGGGACATACCTTGATGTGGAACATTAAGTTTCCATGAGAGGACAATGAGTATGGGGTCAGTAAAATGGATGGAGTAGAAGAGCTCATTTGATTGATGCCGCAGTTAAGAAAAAGTCTCAGAATTAATAGGTTCAGTTCATTATCTCTCTTTATCACATATGGTATGGACAGCTTGCAAGTTACATGCAGCCATCAGAAATCTTCAAATCACCATCTGTCAGGGGTGATTTGAATGCAATATTCCTGCTTCTTGGCAGGGGGTTGGACTGGATGGCCCATGAGGTCTCTTCCAGCTCTTTGATTCTATGATTCTTTGATTCTTCAGCACACTCCGGGTTTAATAATATTAGAGGCAAAATGAGAGTATTGGTCTCCCAATAAACATTCTGCCTTTTTGAATTTCCAGGTGAAATAAGGGACAAGGCTCTTATTCCTTTAATGGATGTGTAGAAGAGGTATTTCAGCAGATATTATTTGCATGCACCTGATGAAATTTCCCCTTCTGTACAACTATTAAAAGTAAAAGGGTCTCATCTCTTATTTCGCCTGACAACCCTACTGCCTTACAGAATGAAATTTTCCTTCAGTCTCCAAATTTTAAGCATTGCAGTAACTTTGGTTGAGCATTTAGAAATGCGGTTTAAACATTAAAATAAAAGGGACAGATAAACTTAAGAAACCAATACAAACATAACAAAACATACCCTCAACTTATATATTACAATACAGTTTGTATGTCTTTAAAATGCCAGATCTTGTTGGCAGCCCTTTGTGTAGAAGTGTCAAACTGCATTTCCCTATATAGACCACTTTGCGCACTGTGGTTAGCAGAGGAGGCCCTGCTCTTGGTCCCACACCCATCTCAAGCATGGGACGAGAGGGGGGCCTTCTCCATGGTCATTCCTCGCCTCTGGAACTCCTTTCCCAAAGAAATAAAAATGGCCCCCACCTTCCTGTCCTTTAAAAACCTTTTGAAAATGCAGTTATGCACTTTAGCGTATGGAGATGAGGAGGACTAGCACATCTTAATTTCACTGGAGCACTGCCAAATTTAGTCGAATTTTATGGGCTACTACGGCACATTTTAAATTATTATTGATATGTTAAGCATTTGTTATGCATTTGAATTGTTTAACTTTTCGGGGCACATGTGTTTTTAGTGCAATTATGTTTCATTTAAATATTAGTATTGTTCATTATTGTTGTATTTCTATATCTACTTTCTTTTAGTAGTTACAAGTTTATTGATGCTGTCTTGTATTGCTTTGATTTGTGTGTTTTTGTTGATTACGGCATTGAATGTTTACCTTTTTCCGTGTAAACCACGATGATTCCCCTCCAGGAGAGAGGGTGGTCTATAAATAAAATTATTATTATTATTATTATTATTATTATTATTATTATTATTATTATTATTAAGTGTCTAGTCGGCCCTGCCTCCCTCTGTGTGAGCCAAAATATTCACATGTAGCATTATGCAACACTCAGGTTCTTCCCTTTGGCTGACCAACCAACTGAATGAAAACAAATTTCTATGTACATATGATAAGGTTGCAAAAGAATCTAGTTCATTTGCAAAATTCCGAGCAACTTTGATTGATGTGCACATGCAATTGTTGTGTCTTTTCCTTTTTTGAAAAACAGCTGGAGTAGACACAACTTTCCAATTTTGAAGCTAATTCTGCTGTGGTAAATGCTTTGCAAACATGATCACAATGTAATGCTTTCTGCTCTGCTTTCCTTCAATGTCCAACTGGAACTTCATTACTTACACACTATACTTAGACCAAGAAAGCATCAAATGAGATTCCCCTTCTCTAATTTCCAAATTCATACAGAATTGGTTGATTCCTAGTTAAATCTCACCTGAGTAGATGACAAGCAGCATCTTTCAATGCAGGGATGTAGGTGTCTCTAAATGCCAAAATGAAACAACATAGCTGCTAACTACATCTTCACAGAATGTGTTATTTGGCTGTTGGCACTAAAAGTAAATGCAGTCCTTGTTCAGTGAGTTTGTTGGAATACTACAGTAGGCCTTCTACTTTTGTGGAGGTTGAGCGTAAGACACTTCCACCTCCCTCTGAAAATGGAAAACTGTAATAAAAACACAGTTTTCCTGAGAGAGAGCACCTCTGAAGAGGATCAGAGGGCCAGGCTTTAGCACATCTGGTTAACCACCAGTAGCAACAATCACACCAATCAAAAGGTTGGCAGTTCAAAGCCCAGGTTGGGGTGAGCACCTGACATTCAGCCCAACTCACTGTCCACCTAAGCAGTTCGAAAACCGCTGTGAGCTGGGAGTAGAGAAATTAGGCACCGCTTAAGCAGGGAGGCATTTTACAGCACCATAAAAAAAAGGAAATACCAGAAAATGCCGGCGATCAAAAGAAGGAGGAAGTCTGTGATCAAGGGCTCTTTGTCATAGAAGGTGGAATGATAGCACCCCCTGTGGCCAGAATTGAGCACAACCTCCAGGATGCCAAAGTTGGGGAAAATGCTGACACATGCCTCTGTTGCCTGTCCTGTCTGTTTAACAGCATTGAATGTTTGCCATGTATGTGTTCTGCTCTGAGTCCCCTTCGGGGTGAGAAGGGTGGAATATAAATGCTGCAAACAAACAAACAAACAAACAAATAAATGTCAACTAGGGTATGGTCAACCTGGAGAACTTTGAGATTCCTAAAGTAACCGTATCAGTCAAAACCATGAATAATCAAATTTGCAAAAGTTAAATCTGCATATGTGGAAGGCTGATTACAAATTATTTTAGAAAATACTCCCTGTGAATAGATGTGTCTGTGAACATATTGATTATCACTTTTTCTGAATAATAAATAAAACTCTGACTCACTTATAATTCACATTTTTCCAGACATAGATGAATGTCGCTTTGGTTACTGTCACCAGTTGTGTGCCAATGTACCTGGGTCCTACTCCTGTACATGCAATCCGGGATTTATCTTGAATGAGGATGGAAGATCATGCCAAGGTATTAAGGACGTGACAAAGAAATAGTATGATCAAATCAAAGGCTTTTTGTTCCCTTAGTGGCCACTCCGATATCTATGGGAAGCATACTACCGGTAGTAGGACACAAATATTGTACCCTGTATTTATAGGCTTGTTCGTAAGTATCCCACACACATGCACACTGCATCTACCATATGTCTTCTACAATGTAGACAGAAATATGAAAATAATTTCTTCAGCTTTTGAGAAATTTCATTATCCTCCTTTGTGAATACAAAATACACATAGCCCTAATACATGTATCTGCTTCTGTGTTGTACTATAGACAAGTTATTAAGATTTTTTTGTTTGCAGGGGATGGGATTCCTTGTTCTGGTTCTTCAGCTGCAAAATTATCAAAACTTCCCTAAGGAGTGGGGGAATCTCTTCACAATGTAACCATTAAAGATTATCTTGAGGGTTAAGTCTACAAGGCGTAGCAGTCTCGGGATTTTATACATTGTCCTTTCTCCCCTCATTTCATCCTGCTGTTTTTGGCCAGGTTTCGTTATGATTAAAACAGTTGGTGTCTTGAAATTAGTAGATAAACAAGGAAGCACCTGCAGGAATCACTTCAATTATGTTTGCATTATTGGTCTGATCCCAAGCAGAGCGTGCACAATCTTTTCAAGATGTTACCATGGTAAATGGAGCTCTTCCAGCCTTGAAGCTTTGTTTGCATATTAGAAGATTTTTTAGATGGTAGCTTATCTATAACTTCCTTAAGTGTACAATGCGCTCTGGCCTTATATACAGAGATATTTCGACACAGAAAAGTAGGATTAAATCCTATTTGCCATAAGGTATAAAAAGAATGCCTAAGGGAGCCAAATGCATATTATTTCCTGACACAGTAATCTCCTATGAAAATGCTTTTCAACATCAGCAAAAATCAGCTATAATTTCTCTATATCAGGCATGGGCAAACTTTGGCCCTTCAAGTGTTTTGGACTTCAAATATTTGAACATCACTACTTGCCTAAGAAAATCCTGTGAAATTTGTGGGGTTGCCATAAGTCAACAGGCGACAAGGGCACACATTCACATAAACACATAGTCGTTGGTGGTATAGTGATAATTCATTCTGATTTCAGATATTTTATACTATTTAAATAGGTGTTACCCTAAATTATGATGAAATGAAAATGTAATTAAATACTGTTTTGCCAGTGTTGTGGGTTAACTATTCTATATAGATAATGTTTTTCACAAAATGAACAAATTCCACTTTAAAATGGCTCGTTGTCTTTTAAATGTAAAGTGGAAAATGTAAGAATTCATATTCTAAGTATTGGTTTCTGACAGATGTGAATGAATGTACAGCTAACAACCCTTGCGTTCAAAACTGTGTGAACACATATGGCTCATTTCTTTGCCGCTGTGACCCTGGCTATGAATTGGAAGCTGATGGCATTAGTTGTACTGGTAAGTAAAAACTGTGGATCAAGATTGTCATGGGAGTAAAAGTGGAATCATAGCTCTAAGACAATGTTGTGTGATAGGGCCTGTGACCTGGTGCTCATCCCTTCTGCTAGTCTGCTGCCCTCTGGTGCATTGGTGAAGGACGTTGTTCTTTTAGTAGCACTGAAGCATTGAATCAGCTGCTCATTTGGACTGCATCACATAGCCAGGGGTTTTGTGCTTGCTTGATAGACCACAGCAAATGGAGAGCGCACAAATATATCCGTAGTAGTGGCCATAATGACAGCAGTCAGTGATGTCAAGCATATGGCTGCAATAAAGATTATGTGGCTATAGCTAGTGCTTTTATGTTTGTTTCAGTTTTAACACTTAACACATTGGGTTTAATTTGAAAATGATTAGTTAAGCCTGTTTGTGTTCTGGAAAGGTCCCTTGTGCCTAGTTAAATGAGAAAGTCTACTCAGGCTCTCAAAAAATAAATTTCCTTCATGAGAGGAAACACTGCCTAACAGTAAAAGGAACATATGGTATGTGGAAACAAGCTTCATTGGGGCAGGATAGCACCGCCTGGGTCATTTTAAAGAAGGAAGTCAACACCAAAGAGCCAGCATCTGAGAAGGTACAGCTGCCTTCTGTCTTGGTCTTAATCTCTTCACAGTAGCACTTTTTCCTGTAATGTCTCAAAAGTATATATATCTCATTCCAAACACTGAGTTTTGGCACGTCAACTGAGGATCAAACCATTGAGTTTTCTTAATTTGTCCCAAATCTTTACGAGCTATGTTTTTCTGTCTGACTTCATGTAATATTTGCAAGGAGTGCAGAAAGAATCATAGAATCATTGAGTTGGAAGAGACCTCATAGGCCATCCAGTCTAACCCCCTGCTAAGAGCTACACAATTATGTTCAAAGCACCCCCAACAGATGGACATCCAGCCTCTGTTTAAAAGCCTCCATAGAAGGAGCCTCCACCACTCTTCAGTGTAGAGAGTTCAACTGTTGAACAGCTCTCACAGTCAGAAAGTTCTTCCTAATGTTTAGGTGGAATCTACTTTCCTGTAGTTTGAAGCCATTTCTCCATGTCCTAGTCTCCAGGGCAGCAGAAAACAAGCTTGCTCTCTCCTCCCTATGACTTTCCCTCACATATTTATACATGGCCAACATGTCTCCTCTCAGCTTTCTCTTCTTCAGGCTAAACATGCCCAACTCTTTAAGCCTCTCCTCATAGGGCTTGTTCTCCAGACCCTTGATAATTTTAGTTGCCCTCCTCTGGACACATTCTCTCTTCAATTGCAGTGTCCAGAATTGGACACAGTATTTCAGATGTGGTCTAACCAAGGCAGAGTAGAGGGATAGCATGACTTCCCTGGATCTAGACACTATACTCCTATTTATGCAAACCAAAATCCCATTGGCTTTTTTAGCTGCAGCATCACACTATTGGCTCATGTTTACTGTCAACAAGGACTCCAAGATCTTTTTCACAGGTACTGCTGTCGAGTCAGGGGTCCCCCATTCCATATGTTTGCATTTCATTTTTTCTGCCTAAGTGGAATATTTTGCTTTCATCCCCATTGAACTTCATTTTGTTAGTTTTGGTCCATCTCTCTAATCTGTTAAGAAATGAGCAGTGCTAGGCGTTTAGCCCAAGTGTTGATATAATTGCTCTTGTTATGCTAAAAATTCATTTTTCAAAGACAAAAGTTTTGGTCACATGTTTACAATCTAATACACATACCCACTTCATCTACCTATCCCTTTTGTGTCAATCCAGTAAAAGAATAAGGATTTAATTAGTTGCACTCTTGGCTACAGTGCTTCCAGCATGGTATGCTGATAAAGGTTAGCTTATGTAGAAAGAATGAGTTCCCGTCTGCTTGTTTTTTAGTTACTAGAATAATCTTCAGCAAAGCAAGCTTAAGTCCAGGAGGCTGAGGGAAAAAGAAGGTGGCTTACTACCTTGGCTATCTCTACTTTCCCATTGTTTCCAAAAGAGACCAAGATATAAAGCAACTTGCCTTCTTCTCAGTTGGTTTTAGTGCTAGAATTACTACTATATATAAATAAAGTTTTATTATTATTATTATTCAGGGAAGATCTTGAGGAGCTAAGTTTTGCACATATTCTCAAATGTAAATGTGGCTTCAATCAAAATTTTGGGAAGATTGCTTCATCATCCTCATGTTGCGAAATACTTTATTTATTGCCCTAGCATGATCATGTCATTGGCCATATTTTACGCAATCCACTTCTAATATGAGGATAGGAGGGAGAATGTTTACTCTGGCACAAGAAGGTCCCTAAATTTCATTAAAGAAGTGGGTTCTTTGGGAAGATTGGCAAACACAAAAATATGAGTGATTTGTATGTGGGGTTGGAGGTATGAGCCAGGGCCTCAATATCCTGAAGGCATCAGATCCTGTCTGACCTTAGAATGGAAGCCGGATCAGAGCTGAATAATACTTGGATGGGAGACCACCAAAGAATAGCAATTGATGTCAGGCCTACTCATTTGCTGGGGTTAGTGCAGTGGTTCTCAACTTGTGGGTCCTTGGGTGTTTGGCCTACAACTCCCAGAAATCCCAGCCAGTTGAAGGCCAAAACATCTGGGGACCCACAGGTTGAGAACCACTGGGTTAGGGGCACAGAACCCACACAAAAATTGAAAAACCTTATTTTTTTTAAAAAAAAATGATTATTTTCTCTTGAGAGAACATTCTAAAAATTGCTAGGTTCTCCCGAACAACTCTGTGGTTAAGATGACTATAGAATAAATTGCTATTATCTCCTGTGTGACTCCATGGTCAACTTTCAGTTGAAGAATTGCACTGAAGGACCTAGACCAATGGCTCTAAACCTATAAGTCCCTAGATGTTTTGGCCTCAAACTCCCAGAAATCCTAACAGCTGGTAAATTGGCTGGGATTTCTGGGAGTTGTAGGCCAAAACACCTGGGGACCCACAGGTTGAGAACCACTGGCCTAGAGATGCCTACATTGTCTTTAACATTGATTCCCAAACTCTGGCCCTCTAGGTGTTTTGGACTCCAACTCCCAGATGTTCTGGTTGCAATGTCTTCTGGGATACTGGGAGCTGAAGCACTTTATGTGGGATTGCCTTTGAAGACTTCAACTAGTCTAATGTATGCCAGCCAGATTGCTCACCGGAGCAGGGTATAGGGAGTACACAACCCCCGTTACATCAGCTCCACTGGCTGCCAATTTGCTACCAAGCACAATTCAAAGTGCTGGCTTTAGCCTATAAAGCCCTAAACGGTTCCAGCCCAGTTTACCTGTCCGAACATATCTCCCTCTCTAAACCACCAAGGAGTTTAAGAACATCGGGGGAGGCCCTGCTCTTGGTCCCACCACCCTTTCAAGCACGATGGGAATGAGAGACAGGGTCTTCTCAGTGGTGGCTCCCCAGATGTGGAAATGATATCTCTCCCAAATGATATCAGATCTGCTCCCTCCCTCCTAGCCTTTCGTGGGGAAAAACCCTGAAAACTTGGTTTTGGGATCAAGTTTTTGAGCGAAGAAATGGCGATTGAATGAGAATGACCTATGCGATCAGCAATGGACTGATCCTGGATCATGATTTTAAACTGGCAGAATTTAAAAATTTTAAATGTATTTTTGAATGTTTATAATTGTTTATAATTGTTGTTTAATTATGATTGTTTAATCTGATGTTCGGCATCTAATGGTTGCCTATTTTAAAGCCGCCCCAAGGCCCCTCTCAGGGGTGAGAAGGACGGGGTACAAATGCTTGAAATAAATACATATAAAAATAAATAAATATACACAGAGGAGCAGTGTCTGGGAAACATTGGTCTATAATAATCAAAGAACTTGTCATGAATGAATAATTAACCTTTTTTTATTTTTAAATTTGCAGATATGGATGAATGCAGCTTTTCAGAATTTCTTTGTCAGCATGAATGTGTCAATCAGCCAGGCAGTTACTACTGCTTTTGTCCTGCTGGTTATGTTCTCCTTGATGACACCCGATGCCAGGGTAAGAACATTTAACCAGCTGTATTTTGAAAACAAACAAATAAACACAAGGTGGATTAGCCATTTTTCAAGAGAGAAAGTAATGACGAAATAATGGCACACTGTGTATTGTAAGAAATACATGTTTAGAGCTGTTGTGCAACTATGTGAGCGGTATCATTAAAAGTCACAGGCTTTCTGGCGTAAGGAACACTTCTGCAGTGCACTTAAAAGGTCACACAACAGGTCCCATGCCAATCCTTTTTTCTACTCCAACTGTGAAGTGGCAAACCTCCCAATTAACTTGATAGAAAGAGATGACTGTATTTAAACATGGTCTTGTTTACTACTGAGCTCTGGACAGCTGTGAAAGCATTAAAATACTTTAGCTAGAAACCATGGTTCAAGTCTAGGACACTATTCTTTGTGTATCTATGAGTATTTGCCTCTGGCATGTATAATTGAAAAGAGGTGTTGACTGACTTACTATTGGCAGAACCAAGCTGTTGCTCTTCTGCTTCCTTTTCAGTAGGTTTTCCTTCCCTTGTGCTCTGTATAGGATTTAAACTTGGTATAGGGCATGTTTATTTAAATATTTTTGTGGGTTTGTGTGCCAGAGGCTCCTGATTTTCCAAAGCCCCTTCCTGGCAAAACGTCAAGACCAGCATGTCATCTTCATTTCCTTGGGTATATCTTTGCTGTAGAATACAGCTTGTCGTCTTGTTAACTGCCAAAGCGCAAGGCTATAAAATCATGACAGTTGCAGTTTAACAAGGTCTTGAGTCTTCTCAGTCAAAGAGAGCTGGTGCTTCAGCAAACTACAAATCCCAGGAATTCATAGCATTGAGCCATGGCAATTAATAAGATGTCAAGCGGTATTAATTCTTCAATGCATATGCACCCAGAGTTTGCAAAGAAATGGACTCTGTGTAGATAAGTCACCTAGGCTGGCCCAAGCATGAGTTTGAAAAGTGACAAAATCAAATACTATGTAGGGAGCACTGGGACACTCCTAGTTGTTTGTCTTGAATTCCTTTGCTATTTTTCTCTGATGAAGGGGAGAGCTATGTAAGTCACTTATCATGTCAAGCTTAAACTAGTGTAGTAGAAAACACCACCCCGACAGCAGTAATAATATATGTTTCAGTGTCTGCTTCTCTCAGTTCTGCTCATGAACTTGAGGTGAGCCATGACCACACTCTTTTGTCTCAAGTGGTGACATTTCCTGTGTCAGCCTGGTACATTGGTATGATGGGTGATAGTATTTAAACAATCAGCACAAGCTTAATTCTGTAGGCAATAATTTATTTATTTAGTTATTTACAGTATTTATATTCCGCCCTTCTCACCCCACAGGGGACTCAGGGCGGATTACAGTGTACATATGCATGGCAAACATTCAATGCCATAGACACGCAACATATATAGACAGACACAGAGGCAATTTAACATTCCAACTTTTTTTAATGAGGGTATTCTGGCCACAGTGTTGCTTCACTGTCCATTTGTGACACTGATGAAGTGCTTCCTCGTGCTTTGCAGGCTTGCTGGAGATTTTTATGGCCTCATAAATTAGTTAAATTAGCCTCCCCACAAAAGCAGTACCTAAATTTCCTACTTGACAGATGCAACTGTCTTTCGGGTTGCAAAGGTCGACAGCAAGCTACACAAATTGGTCGGACAATCACTCTGACGCAGGCTGGCTTCGAACTCAGGACCTTTCGGTCAGTAGTGATCTTAATGCAGCTCATGCAAGGACATGTCAAAAATGGAGAAACGGGAATGTAATATTTGTGATGAAAATTACAGCCTTAATCATGTAAGTGGTTGCTGGAGTGTACATTCTGGACTGGCCTCTTTGTGAGTTGTGTGTACATTTATACAGTAGCATGGAATAAGTCTTATGAAAAGCTTGTTTCATATTATTGTATTAATGTATGCATACCACATAAAGCAGTGGTTCCCAACCTGTGGCCTGTGGACCACCAGTGGTCCGCAAGAACTAAAATATGGTATGTGGCCTCACCGTTACTACACTGTTGCAGTGAGAGTGACTGGTCTTGTGAAACCCTCTTATAGTGCCGAGGCTTATTAAATATGGTTTTCTGTGGGCGAGAAGATGGTGACTACTGGATGGTATAAACTCTGTATCAGAAACTAGAGCTGATGTGGTCTCTGAATCAGCACCCCAAATAACCAAACCGAATCTAAAGTTGACCAAAACTGATTTGTAACCCTTTTGGGTCTAATGTTGGAGAGTGGTCCCTGGTCAAAGTGGTTCCTAGTCCAAGTGGTCTCTGGTTAAAAAAAGGTTGGGAACCATTAATGTAAAGTTTCCCTGTCTTCCTTCTGTTTGGGTACATTCAAAGACAGACGTGGCAAAAACCAGACAAACATAAGGATTTCTATTTTTGGGGCAAATCTATACTAGCTTACCAAATAACAGAATTAAATGGCAGATGGCATGTATGATTGGATCTTTTGGCAGGATAAATGCTCATTTCTTCCCATCAGTCTTCACATTCATTTTTCACAAGTAATGGATAAACATAAAATAGAATTAGCTGGGGATTACCATGTTTTGGCCACAATGCTGCCTGATTGGAGCGTGCAAAAACTATGCATTGTTAGGTACTCGTCACTGTCCAAGCAACCCAGGTGCAGTTGCTGGAGGGTTTAATTTCCTTTTGGATGAGAGAGAGAGAGAGAGAGCGTGCACTTGGGAATTATGGCATTTTCATCAGTTTTCTTCCTTGCACAAATATAGATGTGGATCATGGCAAAGCAAGCAACCACACAATCAGATATTATTAACCATTAAGACAGTATTGGTTTCTCTCAAAAGCAAGCAACTTCCACCTGGAACTTGTAAGACTCTTTCTTCTGTTCACTTACTACATTTCCTTCCCTTTCTAAGTTCACTGTCTCTGTGAAAAATATTAGCCTTCTGCCACTGCCACATATTCTAGAAATCTTCTTGCCACCATCAGTCATTTTGGGCTATTCAGTCAGTTGCCATGGAAAATTAGCAAATAAATAATTACTCCCTTTCCTTTCAGTCTGCCAGGTCTTGGTACACTGTTGGCACCCTACAAGAAGATTGGGGAGAAATGTTGCATAATTTCTCATAACTGATTTTAATACATTTTTGGCAATCCTCATTCTAAAAATAGAAGCAATTGAATTTTATGCAACCAAAAGCTGTTTTATAGTCCTCTTTTCTATCATATCCTTCACACCATGATAATGTGTTTCTCTGCTGGTGGGACTGGATGATCCTATCAGGCTGTGCTGATGGTAGCACTGTTGCTGAAAGGGTCTCCTATGTCACACAAGTTTTTGAGGAACCAGACAAAAAGTAGCAAGACAGTTCCTGAGTAGCAGCACTAGCGGAGGGTATGTGTTACTGGTGGAGGATAGTTAATGCTGGTTCATACTCTGCAGAGGGAGGCACGCTAACTCCCCTTTGAATGTATGTTGCTATGAAAACCCTATGATGAGACAATCCAAAATGAAATAAAAGATAGTACCAGAAGATGAAACTGCCAGGACACAGAAGGTGTTCAATTAGTTGCTGGGATACAGCAAAAGACCAGAACAAATATGGATTTGGATAAACGATTATGGATATGAGATCATGACTCGGTATTTTAGATGGTTTTTAATTTGTTTGATTGATTGATATATATTTTAATTGCTTATATGTTTGGATTGTTTTATATTTTGATGAGATGTATTTTATTGTTTATCTGTGCAGCATTAAATTGCACAGTAAGCCGCCTCGAGTCCCTTCCGGGGTCAAGAAAGGCGGGGTAGAAATGAAGTAAATAAATAAATAAGTGGCCCTGTGACTAAGGATGCAACTGGACTTAAGCCAAAAGTACCTTTATCCCAGGAGCTACCATAGCAAACAGGAGGGTGATAAGACACTGTTCCCTGCAAACACAGAAGCAATTGCTACAAAAGGCAAAAAAATGTGAGATTTCCAGGTGCGGGAATATCACGGTTTTGAACCAAATATCCGCATTTTCGAATGTATGTATCCCCCTGCAATCGAAAATCACAGGGTTTTTTTATCTAGGTTTGTCCCCAGGTTTTAGATGTTTGTTCCTGATTGGTCGGTTCCTAAAAAGAAGGTGACAGTTAAGTAGAAGGCAAAAACTTTGTTTGTGTGCCAGAAACTTCATGAAACATGTGGAGGGCACAGTTTCTCTGGCCAAGACAAGGAATGGAACTTTTGCAATGATCCACATATCCGGACCTCTGTGCATCTGCATATCCACATCTCGAGGTTTTCTAAAAAACAATCCTGCCACACTAGCAACTTACACCAACTATGTTTGAATGTTAAAATACATGATTAAAAAACATTTTTCTATTTCAGATGTTAACGAATGTGAGGTTGGGAATCACACTTGCAACTTGCAGCAAACGTGCTTCAATATTCAAGGAGGATTCAAATGCCTAGACCCAGTAAGATGTGAAGAGCCTTATCTCTTGATCAGTGAAAAGTAAGTAATATTTTAGAACTGTGGTTCCCAGCCTTTGATCCTCCAGGTGTTTTGGACTTCAACTCCCAGACATCTCAGCCCGCTTACCTGCCATTTGGAAATTTGGATGCTGAAGTCCAAACATCTGGAGGACCAAAGGTTGGGAACCACTGTCTTAGAAGAATAGGGCATTTGCTTTTTTCATGTGGCATGTGCTTATTGCATACTTACTAAGTCATGTTTTATATAATTGTGATTTAAACATTTTTTTTCACAATACAGTAATCTCTTCATGTTTGCTGGAGTTAGAGATGCAGAGCCCACGCAAAAATGGAAACAGCACAACACCTTTCTGGCAATCTCTAGAGCAGTGATTCTCAACCTGTGGATTCCCAGATGTTTTGGCCTTCAAATCCCAGAAATCCTAACAGCTGGTAAACTGGCTGGGATTTCTTGGAGTTGCAGGCCAAATACCTGAGGACCCACAAGTTGCAAACCACTGATCTAGATCCTTCAGTGCAACTCTACAGCCAACTTCTGTCAGAGGCTGCCTAGAGAACTGAATTGTGCCTGGAAACAAATTGGCATTAAATATTAAACCATTAAACATCTTGATAAAATAGTAAATAGAGACATCACACTGGCAACAAAGATCCGCCTAGTCAAAGCCATGGTATTCCCTGTAGTAACCTATGGATGTGAGAGCTGGACCTTAGGGAAGGCTGAACGAAGGAAGATAGATGCTTTTGAACTGTGGTGTTGGAGGAAAGTTCTGAGAGTGCCTTGGACTGCGAGAAGATCCAACCAGTCCATCCTCCAGGAAATAAAGCCCGACTGCTCACTGGAGGGAAGGATACTAGAGACAAAGTTGAAGTACTTTGGCCACATCATGAGGAGACAGCAAAGCCTAGAGAAGACAATTATGCTGGGGAAAGGGGAAGGCAAAAGGAAGAGGGGCCGACCAAGGGCAAGATGGATGGATGGCATCCTTGAAGTGACTGGACTGACCTTGAAGGAGCTGGGGGTGGTGACGGCCGACAGGGAGCTCTGGCGTGGGCTGGTCCATGAGGTCACGAAGAGTCGGAGACGACTGAACGAATCAACAACAACAACAAACATTAGAAGGTTAAACAACATCAATTTGCTTTTATTTTCAAGTAATTTCCCAATTATTGTGACCCTAAGAAAATATTTGTTCAAAGGGAATTTGCCATTGCCTTCCTCTGAGGCTAAGAGAACTTCAATACTGACACTATAATTCAGCTTGGAACTAGTTTTGCTGCTTTGGTGATCCAATTGCCATTCCTGGAACTAACGTGAAGCGAAGAAGGTGATTACCACTTTGATGGCTGAAAGCGAGGAGGAACTGAGGAGCCTTCTAATCAAGGTGAAAGAAGAAAGTGCAAAAGCTGGGTTGCAGTTAAACATCAAAAAAACCAAGATTCTGGCAACCGGACTGATTGATAACTGGTAAATAGAGGGAGAAAACATGGAGGCAGTGACAGACTTCGTATTTCTAGGTGCAAAGATTACTGCAGACGCAGACTGCAGCTAGGAAATCAGAAGACACTTACTTCTTGGAAGGAGAGCAAAGACAAATCTCGATAAAATAGTGAAGAGTAGAGACATGACACTGGCAACAAAGATCAACATAGTCAAAGCAATGGTATTCCCCATAGTAACCTATGGATGTGAGAGCTGGACCATAAGAAAGGCTGAGCGAAGGAAGATAGACGCTTCTGAACTGTGATGCTGGAGGAAAATTCTGAGAATGCCTTGAACCATGAGAAGATCCAATCAGTTCATGGCTATTTTGCACCTCTCTAAAGTAATCTCCCAACAAGGTTTCTGTTTGAGGTGCCTACGAATGCTCACAGGAGGGAAGGATATTAGAGGCAAAGATGAAGTACTTTGCACACATCATAAGAAGAAAGGAAAGCTTAGAAAAGACAATTATGCTGGGGAAAATGGAAGGAAAAAAGGAAGACCAAAGGCAAAATGGATGGATGGTATCCTTGAAGTGACTGGCTTGACTCTGAAGGAGCTGGTGGAGGGGACGGCCGACAGGGAACTCTGGCATGAGGTCGGAAGTGACTGAACGAATAAACAACAACAACAACAATGAAGGTGATTGAACCTGGCTTCAACTCGCTTTGCAGTGTTTCATCCCCCCCATTTGCAGGGACATGTACATCAGTGCAACAGAGGCATAAGAGGCCAGTTGGCAATGGAGATAAAGAATTCTCCATCCCAGGGGATCAGTTAGCTCCCTGCTGCCCAGATGTGCCCTTGGGGCATTCTTGGCATCCCCTCAGAATTTTTAAAACTGCCCTTCAGCAGGGGAGGTGCCTGTCATGCATTCTGTGCAGCCAATCTCGCATAGGGACTGGGATATACTGGCATATGCTGCAGCACGTTCTTTGACAGAACTAGGATTTTCTTGGGACTTTTAAAATGTGTGATATAGCCTTAGATATGCACTGCAGCGTGCATTGATTATGTGCATTTTATCCCCACTTCAGCCTCAATTCAGCTTTGAACTGATCAGTGTAGATGAACTCTTATGGCAGTAGTTCACAGCCTGTGGGTCCCCAGGTGTTTTATCCTACAACTCCCAGAAATCCCAGCCAGTTTACCAGCTGTTAGGATTTTTGGGAGTTGAAGGCCAAACATCTGAGGACCCACAGATTGAGAACCACTGCCTTAGAGCATGTGACATGTTCAAGGTCAGCCAGTGGCTGAGTGGTATTTAAACCTGGTCTTCCAGAGTCTTATTCAAGCATTCAGACCATGACATTCCATTCCATATGAATATGAAATGTACTGTATTTCATCAATTCTAAGTTGTACTTTTCCCCCAAACAAACATCCTGAAAAACTAGCTGCAGCTTTGAATTGAGGGTGCTTTTTTATATATTATTCATAAATAACATTTGTGTGTGTGTTGCTGGCCCTGAAATGAGTGTGGATCTTAGAATCAACATAATACTAGAATATAAATTAGAGTACATATATAACATGAAAATCCTAAAAGAAAGCACTTTCTGCTCATTTCTATTAGCTATATTTGTTTATTTACACTATTTATACCCTGCCTTTCTCTACCCCAAAGGAGACTCAAGGCGGCTTATGACAGAGGCAATTATTCAATACCTTAAAACACATGTAATTCCAAAATATTACAGTTAAAAATTAATACATATTAGATATTTAAAAACATTACATTCCACATTAAAATCACACCATCCGTAGTCATAGTCCAAGCTGTTCCATAGTCATCAGACATACTCCAAATCTATTATTTAACTGAACTATTTTCCGAAAGCCTGATCCCACAACCAAGTTTTTTATTTTTCTTCATAAGGCTGGGAGGGACAGGGGCTGATCTACTATCACTGGGGAGGGAGTTCCACAGGTGAGGGGCCACCACTGAAAGGCCCTCTCTCTTATCCGCACCAGTCGCGCTTGCGAGGGGGGGTGGGTGGGACCAAGAGCAGGGCTTCCCCGATGATCTTAATCTCTCTATAGACATTCACAAGCTCTGGATATAAAAGTCATGGTCTGGAGATATTTGTAGAATGTCATGTTATGCTGCTCCAAACATTCTAGACTTTATCTAAAGGAAGAAATACCAGAAAAATTTTCCCTTTCAAACATATTGAAAGAGAAAACATCATTCCAATCATCAAGATCAAAAGGTTAGGCAGGTGAATGCGATAAATTTAAAAGACTTTTATTGTTTCCTTAAAAGTAATCTTAACCACAGAGAAGCCATATCCAAACTGATTTTAACCCGTGAAGGTTTACAATTGTTCAGTAGGAAAATTCATTTAGCTTTCTTGTGCAGCAGTAATCTGTCACAAACAAATCATCTGTATTTATGTGAATAGATTTTGTTAATGGCTAAGTATGTGAAGTCACTATAATAAATAAAATGCTTATTCATCATACAGCTAATATTTTCTTCCAAACAATGCATTGTAAGTCAAATTTAGGTATACCATAATACTGAGCAATCATCCTGTCAGCTGTGATGATGGGAGTAACAGTCTCACCCATCTGCTAGGGGAATGTTCATGTGTGGAATTGCAATTGAGGGTACTACAGAACTTTGTTGTTAATGATAAAAAATTAATTGTAATGAAAATGGTGATGATTTTGTTCTGCCAGTCACTGTATGTGCCCAGCTGAGAATCCTGGTTGTAGAGATCAGCCCTTCACCATCTTGTATAGAGACATGGATGTATCGGGACGAACAGTGCCTTCTGATATATTTCAAATGCAAGCCACTTCCCGCTACCCTGGTGCCTATTATATCTTTCAAATCAAATCAGGAAATGAAGGCAGAGAATTCTACATGCGGGTGAGTGTGATTTGGAATGGGATCTTGTATTTTATCCATTTATTTACTTATTCTAGGGCAGTCTTTCTTTTTAAATGCTGTATGAAACATTCAAATCAAGCAATAAGCAGTGTTGTGTTGCTTAGCTTCTCAGTAGCCAAAGAGTACAGTCTTCCCTCCACTTTCATGGGTCTCACATTCAAGGTTTTGATTATTTGTGAGTTTGAAATGCCACTTTCACTCCCTAAACTTGGAATTGCCATGTAAATACTAAACAGATCAAGAGTGGAGTGAGGAAGTTTTTGGGAGGTGGGCATGCTGCATGTTTAACCCGGTACCTTCCTTCCTTTGCCTGGCTGGAACACAGGTAAAGTGCATGCAAGTAAGAGGCTTCACTGGCTCTGTGGATTTGGTTCCTCTTCCTGTGTTCTGCAAGTATATGTTTCCCCAGGGTAAAGGAAAGGAGGTGCCAAAGGGGGATAGAAACACATGGCACACAGGAAGAGGAGGATAAGCAATTCTCATTGGTGTGAATGGGGCTGTTCCTTCCTTTTCTCCTGTTTGACACTTATTTCTGTCCTGACAAGTGTCTTATTTTGCCCAGGTGAAACAATAAGAGTAGATGCCAGTTTCACATGCCGTTTCACTTACCCTGTGGATTTGATTCATTTTCCTCTTACCATGTACTACAAATGTGTTTCCCCAAGGCAAAGGGAGGATAGTACTGGAGGGGGTGGGGGGGATACAGAAACATTTGACCTGAAATTTTGATAAAGCTTCAAGTGAAGTGAACGTCAATCACTAGCAAAAACTACCCATGAAAATTTGGATACTCTCAAATAGTTCTTAGCCAATCCCAAACATGTATATCAATGACTATGCCATGTGTGGTCTGACTTTAGCACAGCAGGTTAATCACCAACTGCAGCTGCAGTAAATCTTGCCAACTGAAAGGTTGACAGTTTGAGGGCAGGTCAGGGTGAGCTCCTGCCCTTCAGCCCAGCTCCTCTGCCCACTTAGGGGATCGAAAATAGCAGTGCGAGTAGATGAATAAGAACCACATGAAGCAGGGAGGTATTTTAGGAACAGCATTTTGGAGGAAAGTTTACAAACAAAGAAAGCTCTGGGGCAAGGAGTTGGAGCGACAGCACCACCCCTTGTAGCTGGAACCGAGCACAGCATCCAAAAGATGCCGAATGATGAGAAAATCCTAAATAATATACCTCTATCTGTTGTCTGTCTTGTCATTGTATAATCAGCATTGAATGTTTGCCATATATGTGTTCTGTGATCCGCCCTGAGTCCCCTTTGGGGTGAGAAGGGTGGAATATAAGTACTGCAAGTAAATAAATAAATAAATGTGTAAAGAAGCTCAATGCCTTCTTTTCTGTGTTTTCCATCTAGCAAACTGGGCCCATCAGTGCCACTCTTGTGATGACTCGCCCTCTGAAGGGCCCACGAGAGATTCAGTTGGACCTGGAGATGGTCACTGTTAACACTGTCATCAACTTCAGAGGAAGCTCTGTCATTCGGCTGAGGATATATGTTTCGCAGTATCCCTTCTAAATCTTACAGTTGGAAAGGAAATCATCCCTTTTCTGCCAGAACTTTCTTCTCAGGAGTTAGTGCATCAAATAACTCAACATGAAATCTATATTAAAAGTTGTCGCAATGGCTCATGTTACAGTGATGGGCCAGGCCTCCGCAAGGTTTGAAACCATCTGAGGTTTTAATTCTCAATGGATTTCTTAGGCAAGTTGTTTTGTTTTGTTTTTGTTGACCATGTGCTCTTAAGAAGCTTTTGTCTTGCTTTCCAAAATTTTTTAGAGTGTGATTATAAGCTTATGAAACTGTGAAGCTCTCCACCTTTATAACAGCAAAGCTGCTTTGCAAAAGCACCAGCAAAACCATGGAAAAAGCTTGCTTTGCCTGTCATTTTTCCTTCCTTAAAAAAGCAAACAAACCATCTGTGGAATTGAGAAAGCACCAGCCACTCTTTCAGAAATATCTATGGAAGTATCAGCTCTTATCATCGTATATATCTCAATCAGAAACTATCTCATATTGTCTCTGTTTTGTTTGCACATCTCCAAGGAAGTGTCCTTTCTTTCAGTTTAGGTTCTTTAATTTCTCCCAAACCATTGGCCACAAGTGATAGAACAAATATACACTTGAGAGTGTTTTGGCTTTGTGCTTCTTGAATAGCAGAATAATACTTGTACAGTAAGGACTTGTGTTTCTTTAAAATAATAGGTTTGCAATATGGCAAATATGTACAAATCTAATGGAAATAAGGAGTTTCTATGTGGATATATGCAGGTTTGAGCTTTGAGTAACCTCCAACATAAACAATTAAATGTGGTTTCATAATGTAGACTGTCTCAGCATATATGCTTTGTTGAACCAGCTCATGAAAGACTATTTATATAAGTCAAGTATAATGGAAATGACTGACAGGGAATTTTTCAATGACCAAGTTTGACACATTATATACAGTAGATTCTTCCCACATTTATGTCTTCTGAGATTTAAAAATATATTGTTTTACCATTAAAACCATGAGGAGTAGGCAACCTTGAGACCATGCTCTTCCCTTTGCCCTCTCCTACAGTGAGGAGACGTCAAGGATTCACGTCCTGGTGTAGATCTATGGTTTGTTAACACAACCAAGTTTCAAATCCTGGCTTGTTAGCAAACTGTAGTTTAAAGACTAATTTCACCAGCCCAGGAAACTGGTTAGTTTAGAAACAGTAGTAGCTTACTTGCAATGCTTCACCCTTTCCCATAAAACTCCTCTCTTTCACTACATTATATAATGGCACACAATCATAATACAGTTAAAGGGAACTTCTTAAACACAAATGGTTAGGTATAATTCTAGCTTTGTTCCCTGAAAAGGCCACCATCATTTCAAGAAAAATATTCCTATGAAAAGCGTGGAGGGGAGAATATCAATCCACCAGTGAATTTTCTATGAAAGTTCTGCTGAAAAAAGTGGAAATTGTACACTCTGAACCTGTCTCCCTCTCTGCTTCTCTCAACTTCTCTGGAAGCACCTGCACAGCTAAAGCCTGAAAAATGTAACAGTATCCAAAAGTCCCAGGCTCGGCCAGCTCCCCGGGCATAGCCCAATCAATCAGCTTTGTGCATCTTATTTTACAGTTGACACACACACACTGATTTCTTACATGCTCCAACAAAATATACCTAAATACAGTACTGATCTTGAGTGGTTCTCATTTCTGTAAGACCTTGTGAATAGAAATACTCAACTGATCGTCCTGTTTAGCCACAGTTATGAAAACTCTAAGATTTATTACCAGCTATTTACCTCTCTCATAATGCTTCAATTACTTAATTTGGAGAACATTCAGATAGCCTTCATCAGGGTACTTTATACAGACCAACACAATGAGCCACATAGATATATTTCATCTCAGAACTGTGAAGACTCAAAGTGTATCCTTAGTATGCTTGTCCAGTTGCAGTTTTAAAATAATCAGCCACCATTCAAATTCATAATCTGAAAACATATAGAGAAATAACAAGTTCACTCCCACTGAAATTCTGAAATGTCCAGAGATAATTTAAAACTTTAAAATACGAGACATCCTATAAAACAAAAACAATATTTGGTCTTTGTGTTATCGAAGGCTTTCATGGCCGGAATCACTGGGTTGCTGTGAGTTTTCTGGGCTGTATGGAACATGGCCATACAGACCAGGAAAGCTCACAGCAACCCAATATTTGGTCTTGCTGAAATGTGACATCTGTTAATTTTAATTGCTACACAGTAACTGTAAATTTTAAAATAATTATGTATCTATCAGCAAAATGTGAATGACTGGGCTTGTCTCCATGTAAGCTGCCCCAAGTCCCTTTGGGGATATGGTGTTGGGATACAAAAATATTATTATTCTCAATTTATACGAATCTATTTTTTAAAATAATTGAACTTTGTAATAACAAGGCTGACTCTGAGAGGTGGTGCTCATCTACATTTCTAAGCCGAAGAGCTGGCATTGTCTATAGACATCTCCTAGGTTATGTGGCCAGCATGATTGCATGGAATGTCGTTATCTTCCCGCTGGAGCGGTACATATTGATCTATTCTCATTTGCATGTTTTTGAACTGCTAGGTTGGCAGAAGCTGAGGCTAATGATGGGAGCTCACCGATTCGAACTGCCGACCTTTTGGTGAGCAAGTTCTGCAGGTCAGCGGTTTAATCCACTGTGCCACTGCGGCCCCAACTAGAAAGTTAGGCATGATTTTAAAAATATCTAGTCACTGTTTTTGTTGACGGCAATCAGCTCTGCTATAAGAAAACTAATTATAAAAACAATATGAAAATGTTAAACATTAAAATCAATGAGCTTAGAGGATATTTTTGCCAGATAAAAATCCATTAGTAGCCTGAGTATGCAATTCTTCAGTCTGGTTTTATTAAACCACTACGAGAGCTCTATAGGCAATATGATCAATTGCTCGCTGCATTAAGTAGTTTAGGATATGTATGTTTATTTCTGGACAAGAGACAACTAATAGTAAGACAAATACTGATGGATGCCCTCTGGTGTTCCAGGGCATTTTTGCAATCACCTCGAATTCTTGGCAGCAGAAAACTGTCCCCAAATTTTGGAATTTTGGTAGACTTTATGAAACTAATTATATATTTCCAAATAAGCCAACTACTCAGTAAAACCAACCTAACTGCTAGATCTCCAAGTACTTATATCAATGAACACAATATCTGTCTGTGAACAGATAAAATAGCAAATAGCCATCTTCAAGACATGCAGGATATACACCTGGAAGGAACGGTCATCTCTAACACACTAATAAGATGTCAAGAGACTCCTAATATATGTGTCCTCACATGTAGCACTTTATTGTCCCACAGGATCAAAATGATTCACTTAGATGGGAAAAATGTAAGGAGGCAAAGGGAAGATACTGGCATGGAGGGAAAAGTCCCAAGTGACCCCATCTATTGACATAAGTTCTGTTATATTACCAATTCTGTTATTACCAGAGCAGACTAGTCGCTTCCTCAGTGCAGCCACTTCCTTCTCTCAATGCTCACTCTTCACATTCCAGATTGTCATCTCTTCCCTAATTATTGTGCATCGCAAAAGCAATAGCGTAATTTATGCTAGGTGACTTCCTAGATGTTTCCTATTCTTTCATGCATAAATCCTTACTCATTTCTATATGGATCCAAACTTTTTAAAAAATTCTTATGTTATTTTTAAAGATTGTGAAGGAACACAGCATTGAATAAAATGTCCGTGTGGGACTTCTTTAAAGCTTTTGTACAAAAAAAAAATGTCAATTTCATTTCCAATAAAATTATAAGTGAGTTCTGTTGTCATGAACAATGTTTTTAATATGAAGCAGATCATAACAATGTGTTTAAAGACTCAGCTGTGTTAGTCTGGATCAGTATACAAATAGATCTTGCAGCACCTTTGAGACTAAATGAGACAAAAAAGTTGGTAGCCCAAGTTTTTGTAGAGTTGGGTCTACTTCAGATATTTATTTATCATGTCAGAAACAAGTTGAGAGTATAGTTAAAATGCATTTAAAAACACAAACAAAATTTAAAAAAACTTGGCATTATTCTAAATGTCCTTTGACCAGAAGTTAGCCACTTGGAGTGCCTCTGGTGTCACTTTGAGAATGACTTCCATTGTGCATGTGGCAGGGCTCAGGTTGCATTATAGTAGGTGGTCTCTGGTTTGCTTTTCTCTGCACTCGCATGTCATGGACTCCACGTTGTACCCCCATTTCTTAAGGTTAGCTCTGTATCTCATAGTGCCAGAGCGCAGCCTGTTCAGCGCCTTCCAGGTCACCCAATTCTCTGATTGCCCAGGAGGGAGTGTCTCATCTGGTCTCAGCCACTGATTAAGGTGCTGGATTTTAGCCTTTTGGATTTATGCTTGCTGAGGTGTTCCTCTGAGTATCTCTCTCTCTTGAGCCAACAATGTGATGTGGCGACAAAAAAAGCCAATGGGATTTTGGCCTGCATCAATAGGAGCATAGTGTCTAGATCTAGGGAAGTAATGCTACCCCTCTATTCTGCTTTGGTTAGACCACATCTAGAATATTTGGGCCACAATTCAAGAGAGATATTGACAAGCTGGAATGTGTCCAGAGGAGGGCGACTAAAATGATCAAGGGTCTGGAGAACAAGCCCTATGAGGAGCGGCTTAAGGAGCTGGGCATGTTTAGCCTGAAGAAGAGAAGGCTGAGAGGAGATATGATAGCCATGTATAAATATGTGAGAGGAAGCGACAGGGAGGAGGGAGCAAGCTTGTTTTCTGCTTCCTGGAGACTAGGACGCGGAACAATGGCTTCAAACTACAAGAGAGGAGATTCCATCTGAACATTAGGAAGAACTTCCTGACTGTGAGAGCCGTTCAGCAGTGGAACTCTCTGCCCCGGAGTGTGGTGGAGGCTCCTTCTTTGGAAGCTTTTAAACAGAGGCTGGATGGCCATCTGTCAGGGGTGATTTGAATGCAATATTCCTGCTTCTTGGCAGGGGGTTGGACTGGATGGCCCATGAGGTCTCTTCCAACTCTTTGATTCTATGATTCTATGATTCTTGAGTTAAGCCGTTGGCATACTTCAGATGATCCACCTGACATCCGCCAGGAAGTAGCAACCAATAGTGAAAGGACCAAGGCAGTGACATCTCCGGCCCACCCCCTGTTTGGGTATCAGCCAGCACGCCAATGACTTAAATCAAGAAATAGTTTTGTAAGATCTAAAAGACTCTCGCTGGAACATCTCAGCAAGCGAGAGTCCAAAAGTGGCAGGCTCAAACCCAGAACCTCAATCAATGGCTGATACCAAATGAGCGACTTTCTCCTGGGCACACAGAAAACTGGGCGATTTGGAAGGCGCTGAACAGACTGCGCTCTGACACCACGAGATGCAGAGCCAACCTTAAGAAATGGGGCCACAAAGTGGAATCCACGACATGCGAGTGTGGTGAAGAGCAAACCACAGACCACCTACTGCAATGCAACCTGAGTCCTACTACATGCACAATGGAGGACCTTCTTGCAGTCCAAGTGGCCAGCTACTGGTCAAAGGACATTTAATCAGCTACCAAGTTTGCAAACTTTGTGTTTTGTTTGTTTGTTTTTTAATTTAATACAACTGTTTGGTTCTCTTGGTTACTTCAACAAACAAATAGTGCAGTTTGACTGGATGGCCATCTGTCGGGTGATTTGAATGCAATATTCCTGCTTCTTGTCAGGGGGTTGGACTGGATGGCCCATGAGGTCTCTTCCAACTCTTTGATTCTATGATTCTATGACTCAAATATTTCAATCCAACTAAAATTAGGTGTGAGTGATTTTGCAGTT